CTGTTTTTATTTTCAGTTTTATTTTGGTTGTTGTTTATCATCTTTACCTGCAGTTATCACATATGAAATGTTATGATACTCTAATTAAGAAGTTATTCAAGAAACAAGATGAAGATGATGATCCTATTTTAGATGTAACTGAATCACATCTAACTGTTGATCAGCAAAGGAGAGCTATGGTACCAAGTTTTACTGATTATGTTAGACGAGAATCAGTTGTTGACTTATTTTAATCTTTAGTAATTTTTTGCCATTTCATGAGGCTTTTACTATTTCTATTAGCTATAATTTTTAGTCTTAGAAACTGTGATGTTGGTATTCCTAAGTATTATACAGTGTGATAAAAGAATTCTTTTTTCTAATAGTTATTCATTTCTACAACAAAATGAAATTATAATTCATATGCAAGGTGTAGATCTAAGCTATAGATGTAAAATTAATGTATATAAATTTCATAACTGATAAATCAGAAACATGCATGCAGCATACCTATGATACCTGCTTACTGAAGTTAGTAGTTGTTTCACTCCCACCAAGAGTATCTACTCTTGCTCCTACTCATTGACATTCTTTTATACTGATTATAGATCTATTTGCTTCAGTTCTGAGAAAGAAGGCTAAGCTGTATATCTCTCTGTCATAATTAATCTACCTTACAATGTTCAAATATCTGATCATATTCTTGGAGTTCATTCCACTAATTGGTTAGACTATCAAGCAATAATAATAATTGAAATGCTAACCCGTGCACACAATATCAACCTATCTTCGCCCAAAAGGAGAAACCTCAATCTCTCTATTTTAGATCAATTCCTCACATTCTTTTAGTTGCTTCTGATCATGGCCTAATACCATGCAATGTTTAGTTTTGAAGCAGCAATGCTGTCGTCTCTGAGGGATACAATTCTGTTGCGGTTTGCGTTTCTGCTACTGATGGAATCTCTCACCTTACGTACTAAATGTATCAACTGATGGAGATGCAGGTTATACTAGCTAAGGCTTTTATGACTTTAATAAATTAGTAATGTGGTAGTGTTACTGATATTTTTGAATTGGACCCATGCAGGCCATTTAATAACTGTATTTAGGCTGTGGAATTATGGATCTGGTGTTATTACATTTTATTAATAATTTTTTGTTAGGGCCCAAACAAAACTTCCCATTTTTTGTTGTTTGTATGTGGGCCCCAAATTGTATACCTTTTGTTTTTAATAATAATTTGGGAAGGGTTTGTAATAACACTATCCATGTTCACATTATCCTTAATGGTAATGGAAGAAGATTAAGTAGGCAGGGAGGGTGGGAGAAGCATTGATGCTGCTGCTTGTTGTAATGCTCCTGCTTGCTTTCTCCAGCTGACTACTACTACCGTTACCCCGTACTACAAACTGCTGGTTATACTTATAAGTAATATAACTACCACTGACCCAACTTTGTTTAACCCTTTGGCCTAAACTTCAGCTCTAGTCTTGGGCAGCCCAAGACCTACAGCTAAGTAGCTTCTCATGCGCCATGACCAACGGTCTATTCAAAAATATGGGCTATGGTTATGGGGTCGGGTGAGTCCTATTAATATTCTTTTTATTTTACCTACAGTAGTATTCACTGTCACTTTTATTCTCAATTTTATTCTAAAAATTACATGCTATATATACTAGTGTAACACTAAATTCAATGATGCCTGTGCTTGTTGTTAAGAATTGAATGAATGATTGAGAAAAAACAATTGAAATGATAATTTTTGAACTTACAGGCAGTGCATGTGATGCTGCATTCTTTACAGCAACATTCAGAAATAAAACATCATCAGTCTGTAGTAGGTTAAGTACAGGTGCACTGTGCTATAGCTATCATTTCAAGATTTTTAATAATGTTAATAATAATAATAAGTTGCTAAACTGATGGCCAAAACAAAAAAATGGGAAAATTGTTAAATGAATGAATGAAATCCTCAGTTCTCTTTCTATCAGCAGCCATCTTCTTGTGTAGTAGTGATAATAATAATAATAATTATAATAACAAAAAACAAAATTATTAATTATTTTGTCAGTCAAATGTGTAGTGTTTATAAGGGAAAACCAAGAGAGAGAGAGAGAGGAGTGAGAGAGAAAGAAAGTGTAGAAAGTTACACAATCAGACTTCTCTCTCTGCCTCTGTCTCCCTCTTTCTAATGATGAGGAGAGGAGAGGGATGGGGTCCAGGTGGAGTGGAGAGCAACCACGTGATGGAGCTTCTGCTTCAAACTCTCAATCTCTTTGTCTTTCTTCTTCAATTCATCAACCAGACCTTCTTGTTTCCTTTAGAAATGAATGATAGTGTCACTCAGTGATTTTAGGAATAATCATTATTAGCAAATTCATTTATAAATGCAACAGTATACATGTATGTGCATGTACTACATGTACTTGTTTGTGGATAAAAATATGAACAACTTAGAATAAAGAATTCTCTTATAGCCACTTCTGATGAAATATCCTGTACTATAGTACAGGGACTTTGGCTCAATTTTTGAGCAACTTTAAAAATTCATTAAAAAATCTAATTTTGATCGGAATCAGTTCAAACTTTCTATACAACATAAGAACATGTATATGCATCATAAAATGTAATAAAAATAGAGAATTCTTTACTTGTGATTTTTGACAAAATTTGGCTTGTGACCCTGTACTATAGTACAGGGACTTTGGCCCGATTTTTGAGCAACTTTAAAAATTGATAAAAAATCAAATTTTGATCGGAATCAGTTCAAACTTTCTACGCCACATAAAAATATGCATCAGAAAATGTAATAAAAATGGAGAATTTTCACCTTTTCATTTTTGGCAAAAATTGGCCCGCAACCCTGTACTATAGTACAGGGACTTTAGCCCGATTTTTAGCAACTTTAAAAATTCATTAAAAAATCCAATTTTGATCGGAATGAGTTCAAACTTTCTACGCAACATAAGTACATGTACATGCATCAGAAAATGTAATAAAAATAGAGAATTCTCACATTTTCATTTTTGGCGAAATTTGGCTCGTGACCCTGTACTATAGTACAGGGACTTTGGCTCGATTTTGGAGCAACTTTAAAAATGCATAAAAAATCTAATTTTGATCGGAATCAGCTCAAGCTTTCTACGCAACATAGGAACATGTATATGCATCAGAAAATGTAATAAAAATGAAGAATTCTTTACTTGTAATTTTTGACAAAATTAGGCCCGTGACCCTGTACTATAGTACAGGGACTTTGACCCACTTTTGGAGCAACTTTAAAAATGCAATGTTGATTAAAATTAGCTTTAAGTTGCTAAATACATACACTGTACATGTATATATGAATCAAAAATGTAATAAAAATACATGTACATGTACATACTTTCTAGCTTCACTGAGATATTGAAAGAGTTCAATTTTAACTCTTGTCTCATCAGCCAGTGATGCCTTGAGTTGATCAGTGTGTTCCTGGAGAGTCATACACTCCTTTGACTTATCAGTGACAGTATCCAGTAAAGACTGAGGGGAGGGGGAGAGAGAGGGAGAGATATGTCAACTTGTCAAGATATAGTTCTATTATTAATAATAAACTACATGTACTGACTCTCATATCGCTATAGCAATACATGTACATGTACAAATAGTAGTAGCACAGATTAGAATTATTCAGAGCACAAAGAAGTGTTTTTACAACAAGAATATTTGTTTTACAAATAATTCGGTCACAGTTGGATTGGTTCATGCTTTTAAAGCATACATGTACATGTACATCTATCGTAATTTTGGAAATTTTCGGATAATTTTAATTTTTGGATAGACAGAAAAATTCAAAAATATAAAAGTTAAAATTTTAAACAATTGAATATTAAAATATTCGGGTAAGAAGGAATTCCGGTATCCGTGCCATGTGGCTTGACTTCAGCTGTTTTCAGCACTGCTCTGTGCCCTCTACTCCTTCTTTCTCGCTCATACTCACTCTCTCTTGGTCTACCATTGAGCTCCTTGATGTCTCTTCAAAGTCATTGACTGTTACTGCTTAATATTGGAATTAAACTTAATTTCGGAACAAGATGGCTATCCGAAAATTAAAGTTCATTTAAAATTAATTATCTAATTTATTTTCTAATTGGAAATTTCCAAAATTACGGTACATACATCTACATGTACATGTAAATGTACAAGTATTGTAACACAGAGCTTAATTAATATTTGGCTCAGATACTGTGTACATGTACATGTATGGTTTTAAAAAGCATACACTGATACACTGTACATGCATAAGTACATGTACATGTACATGTACATGTACATGTACAAGTACATACTTGATTTTTCTTAATGAGTTGTTGCTGTTCGTTCTGTAATGAAGTCAAGTCCCGTTCCTTTTTAGACAGTTTATCTTTAAGTTCTTTCAATTCTTCTCTGCTCCAGTGGTTCTGGGTTGAAGCCTACATGTACAAAAACAATAACAACAACAACAACAACAACAACAACAACAACAACAACAAAGACAATAATAATAAAAATAACGATAATAATAATAATAATAATAATAATAATAATAATAATAATGTCACTTAGGCCCCTTACGTTCACTTCTTTCTATATCAATAATAATAATAATAATAATAAATACATGTAAATAAATAATGATACATACATGTACATTAGTTAGATTATTGGTCCAGGTCTTACTTGTGATCTTTGTTCTCTGAGTTGTGATTCCAGTCTCTTCCTTTGTGAGAGTTCGTGTTTGAGCTGATCTTCAAGTGATGATATACTGCCCATATCCTGAGATTTACTGCTTGATAACTTTGCCAACCTACAGCACATGTACAGCACATGCATAAAAATTTAAAATAATAATAACAACAAAGAAAAAACATAAAAATGTACATGTACACATACACGTACATGTACACGTCACATACATGTACAGTATGTACATGTATGTACACGTAGTTAAGTACATGTACATGTACTAGCTGTTATGTCCTTTTAAAAGTTCATTTAGAAGTTCTTTGTTCCAATCTACCATTGAACTACTAACCACAAGCATTATTGCTGCTGTTGGTTTTACACATGCACAAAGGAAGAAGCAACAAACTACGTGTACATGTACATGTACCTACTGTACATGTACGCAAGGTAGAGTAGCTACTTAGTTAACTTTTCATTGCCCTGGAGTGTACTTAAGGTTAAAGAGGGGTAGGGAGAGAGAGGGGGTGAAAGTGATAAAAATGAATATAAATTCCAAATGGTGTGCATTACTTAATGTAGTATTAAATACTGTAAATTAATTGTACTATTATCACTCACCAACACCTTAATGAACAGGTAAGACTATACATTTACATGAAGCACAAATTGAAATTATAAATGATGATATTTAAAACAATAATAAATAACAACAAAGACAAAAACAAAAATAGTGATATTCAAATAACACACAAAACATTGCAATTCGTGTACATGTACATGGTCATGGTCATACTGTACAGCTGGTAATCTTGGAGGGGAGAAATTCTTGCAAATTGTTAAATTTTTGATGATTGGCAGGTATTGACTTGGCAAATTAATGTCAATGTGCCATTGAACATGAATATGATGGCTCAAAATGATTATCTTTACTTTGATAAAATGGCTATCAAAAAGTCAAATCTGTAAAAACCTCCTCCTGTAAAATACATGTACGTGTACATGTACATGTACACAATACATGTGCGTGTACATCTGCCGCTGCTACAGTACCTGTTCTGGAGTGTCTCTGTTTCTTGTCTAAGTCTCTGAGCCTCAGTCCTAGCTAGTCTTTCTTGCTGCAGCAGCACCATTACTCTTTGATTAGCTTCCTCTTCTTGTAGACTTGATGCATGGAGGTCAGCCTGGAGTCTCTTCACTTCTTTCTCTAGTCTTGAGAAATCACTCTCCAGTTGAGTCCGAAGTGATTTCTCTTCTTTCAGTTCTATCTGTAAGGATTCGGTTGATTTAGCAGCCTGTGGGGAGGGAAGGGTTAAAAATAATAATAATAATAATAATAATATAATAATAATAATAATGATGATGAAAGAAACAAACATTAAACAATAAAGGAGAAACACAACTATTATTACTTTCTCTCTGGCGTCCATTTGTTGCTGTAGGTCAGTCCTAGGCACTGCCTTTACTAATGCTTGTTTCTTGAGTCCAAAAGTTGATTGACTTAACTGCTTACTAGCACCTGATGAAGGACGTGGTATAACATCACCATTACCTAACAACAAGAGGACATGAACATGGAGTAATTGCTGATAATAATAATAACAACAGGAATTTGATGTACATGTACATGTACAATTATACATGTGAATTAATCATGTAATTTGTCATTATTTTTATTTCATTTCTCACATCATTGACAAACATGTATGGCTAAAAAACCACAAATACATGTACATGCATATATGCACAAATAAAGTACATGTACATGTACATGTGTACGTACTTTACATTTAGAAATATACAATGTACATGAACGTTCACATCTTACTAGATATAGATACTCATCTTCAAATGACACTTAAATTTTGACAGTACATGTATACATGTACTTGATCAATATGAACATGCATGTGTATGTGTATACACACGTGTACATGTACATGTACGTACTTTACTATAATAATAAAAACATATATATTCATTACATGTACAAATCACCTATTAATCCTCCATTGGGTAGAGGGCCAACTTCAGATACGTATCCCTGTTTCCACAGCGATGGGGCCACACCCCCAACAGGACTAATGGGAGGTTTAGCGTCTTGTTTGGTAGTAGGAGAGGAGTCCCTCTTACTGACCACACCCCCCACACTAACAGTCTTATTACTAATACTATTATTATTTACAGCTGATCCTTTTGAGTTCTGAGACTTTCCATTAACACTATAATTCTTATTACTTCCCGCTGTTGCCTTAGAAACCAGTTTAACATGAGACTTCCCCTTAGCGTCGGTATGCGGACTATCTTCAGATGTGGGTGTGGCCCCACCTACTCTCCCAGTACTGCCTTCTTCTGATACGTCATCTTCGTAAACCGGAAGAGCCTTACAGAGGATTTCAAAACATCGTGAGTTCTCTTCTGAGACCGAGCGCTGCTGTCTCTGTCTTATGACGTGGGTTAGTTGGTGCTTTAATTGGAAACTCATCGTAACTACTGGATAACCAATACTGGGGGGAGAGAGGAAGGGAGGGAGAGAAAGAGAGAGGGAGAGAGAGAGAGAAGAGAGAGAGAGAGAAGAGAGAGAGAGAGAGGGAGAGAAAGAGAGGGAGGGAGAAAGAGGGGGGAGAGAGAGAGAGGGAGGGAGAAAGAGAGGGGGGAGAGAGAGAGGGGGGGAGGGAGGGAGAGATGAGTCATTCTTATTATCACAGCTATACAGCTAAGCAAACAGATACTATTGTGATGGTTGATTAAACATTGACTCAACAGCTTTCATAACTGTGAATAATAATAATACACACAAGGCACACAAATGTACCACCTAATGTACTCCAACATCTAATAACAGACAACACATGGACACTAATATCATTAAAGTATCCTTTATAATAGTACAGGTAGTAGTGGGTCCATTAAAAAGATTAATTTAAGCAATTAATGCATTACTATTAATGACAAATAGATTATAATTATATTAATGAAAAACTTATAGTTTAAACAATAAACGCTAATTCCATCAAAACACTAAAACCAGTTAACTTATAGTACCACCATACATGTACCTACAGTATCATGATGACCAGTTATACTATTAACATACTCTACATTACAATACATGTACATGTACATGTACGGCCGTGGACTCACCAGTGTGCTCCAAATGGTCGAAGTAAGGTGACAATGGGCATTGGTAGAAAGTTAAGTCTCTGGGTCACTTCAACGTAAAGGAAGAGCATCCATAGTAACATACTACCATAACCAAAGGAAGAGTCCCAACTACGTATCAATTCAAGCCAGACACAAGCACTGGCCATGAAGAACAACCATGGACCAAGTAACATTGTCCAACATATGATGTCTAAATATACTACCAACATTATGAAGAAGAGAGAAAATATCTGAAGGGAGAGAGAGAGGGAGGGGGAGAGAGAGAGAGAGAGAGATGTAGAGATGAAAGTAATGTCTGAAAGATAAACAATCATTTAATAAGATACGGTACTAAGTAAAACAAAAAAAGGATACAGTGTTACTAATGATAACAATTAAGAGATGCACATTTATAATACAGATACAGAATGTAAATAATTATTAATACAGACAAGCCCACTAAGGCTCTAAGCCATGTGTTAAGATACACTGTATGTCATCAAGTAATCTCAATTATCTGCTGTATGATACAATGTACATGTACATCAAGCTCTCTTTATATTATACATGTACATTCTCTACTTTCTAAAGTCCCTCTCTCTCTCTCTCTCTCTTCATTTCTCTACTACATATAAGTACATGTACATGTGTACACATATTCTGTTCTTTGTAACTATGCACAACGCTTGCAGCTCTCTCTCCCTTTCTACCTTTAAACTTTCACCCTCTCTCTGTCTCCCTCTCTCTCTCTCTCCTCACCAGTCCTTGGTACTTATAAGAGTCGATGACACTCCTCAAAAACATGATAGCTGGGTACAGATACTCAAGCCTAAAGCCCACCACAGCATCAAGGAACACTATCAGTCCCCATCCACAGACCAGCTTAACATGAAGGTAATTACTGTAGGAGAAAGAGGGGAAGGAGGGGTCGTGTCGTTATAATGTGTACCGAGTACCTTGTTTGTGGTAGTTCAGTTTGAGTCTTGTTCTTTTTGGAGGGAAGTTTCTTTATGCTGACCACACGCCGTCTCATGTTGGCCTCCTCTGTCTCCTTTCTAGAGAGAGAGGATGATGCCAGAGCTGAGAGAGAAAGGCTGAAAGGGTGGAGTGAGTCTCACTGCGTGTAATTGACAATAAAGAGAGACACCACTCCAGAACACGTGGGACTAATTTCTACACTGGGTCCTGTACACACACCTTTAATCAGTCCCCGCCCTTACAAAAAATGGCTGCTAGTGCTTCTTTTTAAAAAACTCTCAAAAAAAGCTTCATTTTACTTATAAATTCCACACACTTTAGAGCCATATAATGGCTTACATCTTGTGCCTTTGAGAAAACTGTAATCTAACAAGAAAATAATGTTTAAAATGGAAATTTTTAAAGTCTCCAACTAGGACACACCCTCACACCCATAAACACGCCTACGGACACGCCCATTTGATGAAAACACACTGCAGTGATGCACACGACCCTAGTCCCTGTATCAAGATCAGCCCCTCGGTCTATTATACAACCAGCCCTTGCTTTCTTGCTGTTGGATATCTTATAGGTTCTGTTTCAACTCATGGCAGTAGACAAAGCTAAATTTGAGACGTCGCCCCCTGTTGCTAGGGCAGTCTGTATCCTGGCCAGCAGCGATGATGTCAAAGGAACAATCGAGTTTATTCAAAACGTAAGATCTAGTGAGCGTCAAGCTGCTAATTATTACCTTGTTCTAGTTTATGACTTTAGATATACACGTGTGTCTTTAGCTGTTACTGTGAGAGTGAGAATAGAATTTATTTTTGCCTTGCTTTTTGCACATGTTCATTGGCATGTAACCACAAAAATGCAATTGCTTATTTTTAACAAAACATCAAATTTACAAGCTCTTTGCATAATTTGGTGTGACAGTTTTGTATGTTTAAAGTATATAAACCTGCAATATCGCGTGCATTAGTTTCAATGTTAGCTATTTCATGCAGCAACAGCCTATTCTTATCACTTTAAGTTATGTATTTTTAATCAGTGATTTGCTAATGTTATTGATTTAGCGTGTACTAATTTTTTGCAATTTTGCTCTTTTCTCAATTTTCCATTCGCAAAAAGGCATAGCAATTAGTTCCCACAAAAATAGTGGTTACATATATTATGTATCTCTTTTCTCTCCCCTATTTCTCTCTCCCTCTCTCTCTCTCCCTCCTTCCCTTGCCCCCCCCTCTCTCTCCCTCTCTCTCTCTCTTCTCTCTCTCCCTCCTTTCCTCACCTCCCCTCTCTCTCCCTCCTTCCCTCACCCCCTCTCTCTCTCCCTCTTTTCCTCGCCCCCCCTCTCTCTCTCCCTCCTTCCCTCACCCCCTCTCTCTCTCTCCCTCCTTTCCTTGCCCCCCTCTCTCCCTCCCTCTCCCCCTCTCTCTTTCTCTTTTAGGAACAAGGCATTACAAAAGTGACTGGTAAGGTCACATCTCTAGCTCCTGGGGATCATGGTTTCCATATTCATCAGTTTGGAGATTATACATCTGGTAAAAGAGAGGGAAGGGAAGGAAAGAGAGAGGGAGAGTAGAGACAATTTTAGTTTTCTTAATTACAAGTTGTAAATGTCACAGATTGCATGTTTGTTGTATTGAAGCCCAGTACATGTACTTGTGATCATGTACTTGTGTATATCCAGTGACTGTTTCTAATTGTCCCTAATGTTTGCTAAACACTGTAGAGTAAGGAACCTTTAATTGCTGCCATTGGGTCTTAAGTAATAAACCTATTACAGTACATGTACATGTAACTTAAAAATATCCTTCCATGAAATTCTGAGCTGCTTTCACCATCAATGATGCATGAGTATTGGCAAGCAGATCAGCCTTCATATAGTGTCACTACATTAAGATCTATCCTGTATATCCTGTATCTATACTGTATCTATTGACACACGTACATTGATTTGATGACTTAGGATCAACACATTAATGTTTTACATTCATCTAGTCTAGTTTTATTGGGTGATGAGAATCTCTATGTTTGGGGGCGTGACTAGGAGGTGTGGCGATGAGGCGGAACCCTTCAATATTTTACATTCATCTACATGTAGTTATTATTATTTTCAAGGTTGTGTCAGTGCTGGCTCTCATTTCAACCCAGCTGGTAAGAATCATGGCGGACCCAAAGACGGTGAGAGACACGCTGGTGACCTTGGGAACATCACATCCACTGGAGGAGACACTGAAATTGAGTTGTATGATGATCAGATTCCACTGACTGGCCCCAACAGTATCATTGGACGATCCGTTGTGGTAAGATTAAGTACAGGGTGTTTGTACATGTACCGTGATTCCTATGAAAATTTGTCACATCAAGTTTCGTATTTGTAATTTTTAAAAATGATTTTTTGGAGGGAGCTTTTAAATTATTATTTTGTCGAATTTGGAGGATTCATTAATACATGAAACCGGCTATATCTTAACTTGGGCTATTAAGAACTTAGAGATAAGTGACAAAATTAGAACCACATGGAACAAACGAATTTTTAGAATTATTTTGGTAGAAAATTATTTATTTTCCAATTTAGAGTGCCAAATATTTAGAGGAATTACGGCACATTATAGTCGTTGAATCTTGTGTACTTGTACATGAATAATGAAAGACATTTTTTATTATTACATTGTGTCCTTACATGTACATACATGCAGGTACATGCTGATCCTGATGATCTTGGTAAAGACGGTCATCCTGACAGTCTAACTACTGGTCACGCTGGGGCTCGTCTGGCCTGTGGGGTGATTGGTAGCACCAAATTACAATAAACAATAACAATAAACAACTTTATTTAGTGATGTGAAACGTTTTCATTTATGTAGTGATTTTGCTATTGCCATTTAAATAAAAATGATTGTTACTTATAAGGATACATGAATAAGCAATGACATGTAATTAGTTAATATAGCTAATTATTAATTAACTATTACAATTATATTAACATTAATCGTTAACCCTAAACATAGCCCCACAATAGCTTTTTCCATTTTTCTGCCTGTGTATATACAATGCATAAGAGCTTACGAGGAATGAGCTCAAAGCATTCTCCTTTGTGCCAACCACTACCATGTTCTACATCACTGACTGTGATGGAGACTCATTGTTCTCTATTGTTTTAATTGACAATGGTAAGTTCTCTAAAGGTCATAGAGTACAGTGGGAGAATCCGCAATAATGCACCAAAAATGTAACCACAAGTATAGTACTACAAAGCATGATAATGAAATATTATTTGTCATTTCCTGCAGATAACAGCTTGTTTATATTAAGATCAATGGGATAGTTATGCTAAATTTTAGCCTCACCCCCCCCCCCCAATCTATCTCCAATATAGTATACTCAACACTGCTGATGTTGCATTTCTCTTTAGAGGCTTTATCTCAAAAAACTAGAAAGAATCAATAGATAGAGGGTAAGCTACATGGTAATTAGGTAAACTAATACATAATATTTGAGGTTATAATATAACAGTATCATATTTTAGCCTAATTTCAATGAAAGAGGAAGTTTACATATAGAATCATTCATGTATATACATTGTTGTTTTATCTTTAGTTGCCTTGTTTGAATTCAAATGTCCTGTAACAGAGATATCTCTTACGATGACTTTTTGAATCAGAAGCCATCACTACAAGAGCTAATTCAACACATTGATACAAAGAATGAATGGCTTATGCTTGGAGTAATATTGGGGCTGAAAAAAGAGGATATAGACCAGCTACCAAAGGGTGTAATCACAGGAAAGACAGTAGCACTGCTTGAGCTATGGCTACACACTCCTACTGCAAGCAGGAGAAAATTGCTAGAGGAATTGAGAAAGGATCCAGATATACAGGATGTGGCTGAAGATTACAATCAATATCTCACAAATATATTTACATATTGTTAGTATATACATGTTTATCTTAATGCACCCATTACCTACATGTGCTTTGTAGTGCCTGCAGACATACAACTGCACATACTCATCTTACATGCATGATGTAATGTGTATACATACTCATAGTTATTTTAGTGATGTCATTGTATGCTACATGTATGTACCAGGAGGCTATTTTTATAGGTGAACAATCATCTGAATCGGATAAGGGCCATACTGATCACAAAAGCTTTGTATCAGGAAAAGAGGAACCCTCAAGTAAAAAATATGAAAAAGCTAGTCACTGCATTGCTGTATTGTATATATGTAGATACTGAGGAAAGAATGAAGAATGAGATTGAGACTTTAGAAGCTGCTCTCAAAGAGAAGGAAGATGGTAGGAATGATTCAATATTGTTGATTTAATATATTATTGTGTGATTCAAGAGCTGCTAGTTGTTATTCAAACAAAGGAAGAAGAGAAAATTGGTAAAAATAAAATAACAGATTACGAATTAAATGATGTACATGTGCATGTAGCTATCAAGGAAGAAATGCAGCTGGCCAACAAAGAGAAGCAAAATGGTAAGAAACATGCACATTTTTAAAATTAATTTTGAATGAATATTGAAGAATTGAATTCTGAGATTCAAGATTTGCAAGTTGCTATTAGTAATAAGGAAGAAGACATTGCTGGTTAGAACAGTTTTTATTAACAATATGAATATTAATACACTTATAACAGCTGCTAATGAAGAACTAGAATCTACTAAACAGGAATTAGCTGAGAAGAAGGAAAAGGTGGCTACTCTTGTTCAAGGAACCATTGGTAAATTTTTACATTTGAAAGAGATCTTTTACATTAATTACTGTAATAAAGATCGTGAAAGATTCAAAGAAATGTCTGAAAGCCGACTTCAAAAAATTAAAGTTGAGAATGAATCAGTGATTAAATCATTGCAAGAAAACCTGTCGAGAACAAATGAAGGTAATGATAATAAAAATGTATTATAAAATCATGCAATGATGTATATATGCAATGATTGTGCAGTGACGTAAATCATGATGTATGCACTTTGTAGAATTATCATCCACAAAGCAACTGCTGTCTGTTAAAGAAGAAGATTTGAAAGTACAAAGAGGTACATAACAAAACATAATGAAAATGATTTACAGAATAAACTGTTTATGACAGAGTCTATGGATTTGCAGCAAAAGATGACAAAGAACATGCACCGTGAAATTGATGATTTGAGAGCTAAGCTTGCAAGCAAAGATCAGCACACAAGTAAGTCATTATTTTATACTTTCTTATTCATTAATGATGTTTGCTCTTATAGTTATAGTGATAGAATCAGGTAAATTCGAAGTTCGTCTTACCTCTTTGTCATCAGAGCAGTGTCCAAATCTCCTAACAAAGATAGAGGACAAACATCAACACGTTTATCTCAGTGATTCATCTGATGTTGCTCAGTTGCTGCTAGTACCTCTGTTGCAGATGAAAAAAATCAGTAGTTTGTATATTCGCTCAACCCATTTGAAATGTGATTTAGTTAAGTCATTCTCATCTCAAATTTCAGATAACAACACAGTAGAGAGTTTGTATATCAATCAAAATTCCATTGATGATGATGGGGTCATTATCTTAGCTCAATCTCTAAAGAATAACAAGAAGCTTCAGCACCTATCACTTGAGTTCAATACTGGAGTTACTTCACTCAGTGTCCCATCACTTGCTGAATTGATATGCATCAATTGCACATTGTCAGTTCTTGATGTCTCCAACACTAGCATTGATACTGAGGGAGTGCTGGAACTGGCCAAGTCTCTCAAGTCCAATACAAGACTACGAAATATTGTAGTAGATGAGAAACACAAAGCAGTGTGCACTCCATTATTACTTGGTACTAGACTAGCTTACTCCTATCATTCAATTGCCCACGAACAGTCAGGCACTGTTAAAAAATAATACTTTACCCCATCAGTTTTCTAAAGTCTATTTGTTGTATTTTTTGTATTGTATCCCCATTTCTCTTTGCCTTGATTCCCTGACCCACCAATTATTAACATGTGATGTATATATGTACATTGTATATATGGTTTTTATAATAAAAGCACTTTTTGTGAAATAAAATCAGCTGAGGATGGTAGGAAGGTACCCCCATACATCATGTGTAGATATTAGTGTACTCTATAATGTTGAATATCTAATCTTATATCTCATTAATGTTGATCAGTGTACAAAATCACACGATGATGATAAATGCATGGCAAGATACTGTTGGGGATACTGTTGGGGATAATAGAACAGTTATTTTAGTATGAAACTATTGCAAACTTGGAAAAGTAGAAAAAACAATTAAAATACATTACTATTATTATTATTATTATTATTATTATTATTATTATTATTATACATTGAAATTAATGTTCTTAACTCTCCATCTCAACTTCAGCTATTTCGCTGAGGTGGGAGTGTACTAGTATCAACCACGCCTCCATTACCCAGTGCTTCCACTTGTGACTTTGTCTTCACATTGTCCCATGATATGTTACTGATACCAGTGTTCATGTCCCAACTCGGATCAAACTCTTTCCCTTTAGCACCACGTCCTGGGGCCCAAGCAACCTATGGTAATATAATATGATGTAATGATATGTTAGTTGCTTCAAAATTTAGGCCTAATATAGTAAAGGGTCATGGGCCAAATTTCGCCAAAAATAAAAAGTAGAGAATGCTCCATTTTAATAATTTCCTTATGTCACGTAGAAAGTTTAGCTGATTCCAACCAAGTTTGTATTTTTTACAATTTTTAAAAGTTGCTCCAAAATAGGGCCACATTTGGTACTGTATACAAGGGCGTAGGGGAGAAAAAAAGAAAGGGGTAGGCTACGGGGAGAAAAGGGCGTGTGAAGCGCACTGCCGATTTGGCCACGCCCACTTTTACAGCTGTGAAATGGGCGTGTTCTCGCAAGATGGAGTGTTCTTCCATGGTTCTTCACTCTCAGACTCCGATGAGGAATCAGGCAAGACTCAAGGTAGTGGCACAATCAACAAAATCATCATTCACAAGATCATCATCTTCAATTTCCTCATGCTCGTCTTCAGTACAAATAGTCTATATGGCTGGGGTTGACTACTAATATACTCAACTAAAATTTGCATAAAAATTAACAAAGCTTTTGTTTCTTTGCAGCTGACATTGTGATAATGTGATAGTCAGGCGGAGCCTGCCTCTCGCGGAAAAACGGAGAGTCAGGTTCAGTACGGTAGCTAGTTTTGTGTCATGGGTGGAGCTGACAGCATGCATATAGGTGGGGCTGAAAATGAGCACTGCCCATACGCGTGTAAACATGACCGTCGTATGTTTAGGCTGTGGTAAAGACTTAAGCAAAGAGAGCAAAAACAGATGTGATCCAGCAGCAGAAAGGTGCAGAGATGTGATAAATGTTTGGAGGAAGCATTTTTATGGACCAAGTTGCTGAGAATGATATTGATTTTGACTTAGACGAACTACTGACTAAACATAAATTTTGCCGTCCGTGTGTGTCAGTTTTTTCGAAACTGACGAAGCTCGAAAGTAGTGCTTTGGATAATGTTAGAGATGCAGTAAGAGCTTTGTTAGATTCAGGTGCACTTACTGATAAGACTTGGAAGAGACATATAACACAAAGACTTTCCATAGCCAGTGGGTAGCACTATGAAAACATCTCTTCCTTCGAGGAAAGCCTTGATAGCTGCCAACTGCTCCTCCTTTAAGACATAGTTCAGCTTTCTAAACACCATTTCCTTTACATCCATTTTAAAATAATTTATGATAATGTTATTCATGTCTTGTGTGGGTGTTATTTGAGTCATTGTGACTCATTTCCTGCTAGCGCAGAAATCCTGCGCTTGACACAAAACTAGCTACCGTACTGAACCTGACTCTCCGTTTTTCCGCGAGAGGCAGGCCCCGCCTGACTAATAATGTGATGGCTTCACTTTTTATTAAGCTAGCTAATTAATTAAGTTAATTAATTATGTAAAGACTCCACCTTTAGTAATTGTGCTAAAATGGCTGGTTTTCTTTTCTTTCTGTCTCTGTTTGCTCTGTCTCTGTTTGCCTGTGTCAAAAGTGACTGAGTGAGTAACTGCCAGTTGAGACAACTACCCTAAACTTTTATAATCTTTGGTCATAGGTGACTAAGGCAGAAACTCAATATAGGTAAACTACTAAACTTCAATTCTGACTTCTGAACTTTAGGGTAGGCTATAGCCTACCCTAGCCTTATGCTAGCTACGCCCTTGACTGTATATGTAGGTAAGGATGAT